TATTTCCCACCGTTGGTTTCTCTGTCTCCGGTCCATTTGACCATAGCACGTGCTTTAGCAACTTCTCACCTTCGCCAACGAACCTATCCGCCACGAACTCCTCTGCTCTCTCGAATATTTTCGGATCTTTTGTTGCAAACGGTTGGTACCCGAATAACAGTTCTCCTTTTTTCACTTCAAACGATGCGTCGTGGCTTGAAACGATCATATCCTTTTTGGCTATTCCGTACTGAAACGGTACGGGAGGCTCGATGCGGAATGCCTCGTACACGACGGATTTCATCAACGGCATCTGTTCCATGGCGGCCATCGTGACTTTTCCACCGTTGGATCTGACGACTGATCTGATCTCTTCTGCCAACTGCGTGTGGAGTTTGACCCCTGCTCGACCAATCCATTTGACCACGTTGGGAAAGAAAAACTTCATTCCTCCAAAGGAATTAAAGCAAGTGGCAAATAACAGGTTGTGGCATGCTTCTTCTCTGGAGATGCCCAACCTCTCTGCTTCGTTAAGAATGGTACCTGATGACTCGTAGAAGAAATCATATAGTCTCTGGTAATTTTTTTTTACCAGGAATGGAGGAAGACGAAATGTGTGGATGGACAGTTCCTCTAAAAGCTTTGGTAAGCCAAGAGTGAGTATTGGACTGAGTTGAAAGAGAACCCATATAGGAATAATAGTAGGGCCATCGAGGCCGAGTTTAGTATCAGCCGGGTTTGTACCGTAAAGGGATCGTGCCAAGAAGTTAAAGGCAGCTTGGTCATTGGCTTCAGAGAAATTGGCTTTAGCTTTGGTGGCTAAATCTTTTTCAAGAGTCTCAAACAAGTCTGTGTAGGTAGAGTGAAACTCTGGGATTACCCTGTCTCGGCTAGACTTTAATTGAAAGAAGAGGAGTTGTTTAAGTTTTCCGTGATTTGGTTCGGAGGGATCAAGATATGACAAAACACGGTAACCACCGGTGAGTTCGGTTGAGGGCATGAAAGTACCAGTGAAAAGATCTCTCTTTTCAACTTTGGTCACGTCAAAAAGAATCGGAAAGCTCTTACCGTCTAGCAAAGCGACGACGTTCGGGTGATGAGAGATGAAAGGGCCAGGTGGCATGTTGGTTCGAAACACAGTTGACTGGTACTTTTGCATTTTTGACTTGAAAAACTCTTCTCTACCAAGGTTGTAGAAATAGTCAAGACGGTCTTTGATTGGACCAATAAAAGGGAGACCATAGTTTCCTGGAATTTTTCGGATCGGAAGTTGAGTGGGTTGTTGAGATGGTGAAACCGTGGTTGGTGGTGCTTGTAGAGATGGCTTCTCGGAAACTGAGGCGGTGATGGGACGGATTGATAGTCGACGCGAGTATGGATTTGATGATGATGTTTTTTGTGGAGTATGGAACTGGAGCTGCAGAGAAGGAAAAGAAAGAGAAGCGGATGCCATTTGAATCACAATCTGTAGCGTTGTATTTGCAGAGAGAGAGAGAGAGTGAGAGAGAGGTGAATTTAATAAAAGGAGAAAGCGTTGTATGTTGTATAACAATATGTGATTCAATAGAAGGAGCTTTAGTTTTATAATGGGCTATATCGGCTCTGGGTGGTGCCGTGGTGGGACCACTCATTAGTGTAAAAAGCCCTAGCTAATTTTAAGTCATGAAAGGTGTGCGTTTACGACTCAGGACTAATATTTTATTAAAAATAATAATAATAAGATTTATTTAAACATCCATTAAATTTTAATTACGATAATCACTTTAAATTAACCATTAATATTTATTTACAGGATATAAATTAGGTTGCTTTTAAATTATCATCTTTTATGTTTGTCGTTTACTGACATGTTTAATGTATGTCTTTATATTATACTTTTTTCTACCTTTATTTGTGTGTGGGTGTTGGAAGCACTTTCTGTGGTGTTTCATAATTTTTTTAATAAGTCGCACGTGTTCAATATATATATATATATATAATTCCAGTAGTGCGGCTCATAAGTTGAAAGATGACTTGGCGTGTTCCTCCTCTATAAAGACCGAAGAATAGCTTGCAATACACGCGTGGCACATATTACCATTGCCTTCATCAATTCAATCAACTGTCTCCATTTCACAAATATAGTCACTATTAATTGCACCTTCCCGAACTTTAACATTAATATGCCCTGTCTCTAAATACTATAACTTCAGTGGGACTTTCACACAACCACCGCCACCACCGTCACCGCGTGCTTCTTCATCGAATGCTCTGCACGTGCTTCTTCATCGAATGCTCTGCACGTGCTTCTTCATCAAATGCTCTGCACGTGCTTCTGCCTAGGGTTTCATTTTCTATTATTGATACTGTTTCCTCACCCTTTGACTCCACAATTTTGCGTATATAAGAATTAAGAAGAACCACTTCATCAACTGCCATTTTCATCACTCTCTGCATGGCGCGTGCAAAACTTTTTTTTTTTCGTCACGAAAACATGTACAATTGGACTGACAGTGAGTCGTCCAATTTGGCGCAGACCCCACCCAGCCACCCAGATGTAGACGGTGAAATATTCTCGTGTCCTCATGTACAGATGTTGCGCGTGGGTTTATCATCAATTGTTTTTTTTGTCATTTGGTACGTAGTTTCACTCCAGTCTTATGACAAATGAAGGACGGAGTTGAATCATGAACCCGGCTTTACTATTCTGAGCTTTGAAAATTTTAAAAGTGGAGGGCTCGTCAAGCCACTTTTTTTCAACTTCCGTCCTGGCAACAAACTGCCCCTTTTCTGTAACCGCCCCATTCATATTATTGCTCCGCTCCTTCACGTGACCACCCACAAAGCGGTTTGGACGGAGATTTTTTTTTTCTTTTAAAAAAACATGTATTTTTATTAGATTCGGAATTGGTCACAAAGCGCCAACGAGACTCTTGGAATTTGGACACTTATTTTTGGGCTGTTCCAGCAAAAGATAGAATAGAATATTTTATTTAGGTGAAAAAATCTTAGATAAATAGATCTTTATATCCAAGTTGAAGAAAAAAAAATGATTTGTTTGTTAGGAAAGATAATTGAAAGGAAAGTATGATATTCATATTGAAACACAAGTTGTTGTAATATCCTTTGTTTATTTAATAAATTAGTTGTTATTTCTTAATAAAAAATATTATGCATACTACTAGTTTTTACGAACCAGCCTACAACATGACGTGGTGATGCCAATTCATCTGTCATGTCAGTCACTTGTCACGTCAGATAGTTTTAAAAAAAAATTCCTCAAAATACATTCTCGCTTACAAATTTTTTGCCCAAAAAACCATCTGTGCCCTAATCTCCTTCTCCCTTAAATCGCCAGCCACCATTCTGGCATCGAAAATAAACTCTGACACCACCTTTCACTTCACTGGCCTCCCTTGACCAAAACTCCTATCATCCCCACCGAAGATCACCCATCAATCGCCGATCGCCGCTCATCTAGGGTTCGCACTCTTCAAACCAATTTTCGATCTATTTCGGCATCAAAAATCTACCCCGACGCCACCTTTCACCTCACCGCCCTCCCCTGACAAAAACCCCTATCATCCCCACTGAAGATCACCCACTAATGCAATGTTTGAACTTAGTTTCTGGGTTTGTGATTGTTTCAATTAACTGCAGTGTTTTTTTTTTTTTCATTTTTCCTTTTGGTTTATAGCTTCATGGATCGGTTCTGTTCATCAATTGAATCAATCCCTGGTTCCATCAAATGCTGGAACTTTTTTTGGAAAACAATGCTTTGTAAAACCAATTTGTGCAGAACTAAGGAGCGACTTGGGGGTTCCTCTTGCAGTTGATGTGGTTGCTCCAGGTATAGTTAAAATTATGAACCCTGCAAATGCCATTTCTAAAATAAATTAAAGTTGAAAAAATTACATACATGTGGAAAACAAGAAACAGGCAGCGAAATTTGTTAGATTGCCATAATCTGCACTTAAGAAAACGTTGAAAACCAAATTGAAAAGAAATTTCTTGGCTAAAGATGGATTTGGTTCTGTGCGCTAGGGTGTAATTAATTTACTATAAATTTCTTAAAAAGTGTGTAAATAATTTACTCAAATTGTTTTTCATGTAAACAGTTTCTTTCTTAAGAAGAGTCTTGAATTGGTTTTGAAATTTGGACTGTATTGTGTATGGTTATAGTGTGCCTTGAATATACTTTTTGTGGCCAAGCAAGTTAATAGCAGAATTGAGGCTTTGCAGGACATGATCGAGAACCATTGGAATGGTCTGCAAGTTAATTAATATTAGTTATTGAGTAAAGAGTAAAGCCGAAGTTAAGAGAGAGAGAGTTCTAAAATTTCAGATTCTTATTAACTCAAATATGTTTCAAAGTGCTAGTGCTCATACTAAATGTTGTGGTTCAGATTGATGAATGCTTATGCTTTGCAGATACTTTGCAGATTACAAATTGCTAATACATGTTTTTAACTTCAAAATTGAGTGTCTGGTGAATCAATGGTACAAAGTAAGGTGGCTCAATTTAAGGGAGGATATTGACTAAGTTGAAAGATGAAAAATGAAAAATGGTCCCAGTAAGGTGGTTTGGCTTACAGGAGGAATTGCTGGTGGGAATGGCAACTTGATTGGCGTATTTGTTTTGGAGTTTGTTTGATGGGAAATTGATTATATTGGGAGGGTTTGTGTTGTTTGATTGGTTGTAATGTTTTTCGGTCTTCCCCATGCATCCAGTCAGTCAATCACTATATCCACCTGAATATGTTCTATGCTCACCACTTGCTCAACCATTTGCCAAAACCAAAACCAAAACCAAGGAATAAGCAAGCAAGAGTCTGCGCACGCAAGCAGCTCCCAGTGCATGTGCATCTCCTCCCAGCGCCCCAAACCACCTTTCTTGGCCTTGCCCAACCTACATTTCACCAACCTAACACCGCCAGCACCCCTGCAACCACCTGCAGTCATTGCCCACCACACACTGCCCCTTTTTTCTATCCACTGCAATCACTTCCCAACCATCACCCACCACCACACACTACCCCCCTTTACTGTAGTCTCTTCCCAGCCATCACCCGCCACCACAGTTGCCTCCCATTGTACCTAAGCCACTCTACCCTCCCTGCGCCCCAGCCACCTTTCTTGGCCTTGCCTAACCCAGATTTCACCAACCTAACACCCCCAACACCCTTGCAACCACCCACAGTCATCAAGAAAATCACATAAATTGATTGTTCAGAATCAAGAAGTCAGCTCATCGGACTCAACTTGTTTAAAGAGAACCATATTTTTGCAACTCATTGATGTAATTTATTGCATCTAATTTAGGTTTTCAAATGCTTCAAGGTTTAAATGTTCTTTCCCCAATGTTATGTTGTGGGGTCATGTTTTGTTTTGGTAAAAATATTGTACAAAAAATGGCTAATGCCAACAATTGTATTAATAAAATGTTTTTTTGCTTATAGTAAATCTTGCATCTTTTAAATCGATGTCTTGCATGTACAAAATATTATACAAGAACAAAATATTATCCAAGAACAGCATGATATCTTTAGCTTGGATTATAAACGAACAAAAATAAATTATATAATACAACTTTACGATATAACATCTTCAAACTATCTATTCTTTTCACCATGGTCTTCACCCATTATTCTTCATTCACAAGTTTGAATCTGTTGGATACGGCCTATAAGCGACTGACCTTTCACTGTAATTCTGGAAAATGTAAAAAAAAAAATGACTTAAGAAATTAATTGTACACCAAAAAGAAAAGGGCAGAAAATTAATGAATCATACCTGACTTAATATATGAACTCCTTCACATCCTTGGAAGTTAATCGCATCTTGAAAAGGTTCATTTGCTTGCTTGGTTTCTTGGGAACCCCCATCATACAATCGATTCAGGGATGTCGCAACACACACTTTTTCATTAAATTTCATTTGTTTACCTTTACGTACATTTTGTTCGAGCTTCGATTGCTTCTTTTTGAATGGAGGTCGACCTTTGCAATGAACAACCCGAGGAGTTAAAATTTTATTGCTTACCTTTGTGGAATTAGCATGAACACTATCAAAATTTGATCCACTGTGACATGACATGTCACCATGTCTATCAATCCCGCCAGCACATTCGTTTGACAATAATTTCTTCTTCATGTCAATAATCATATGCATCACCATATAACTATCATCAATATTGGTTGAGGCTAAATCAACCACCTCAGAGAATGAATTAGACAACTGATCAAACCGTTCTCTTTCAGCAGTCGTGCTCTAGCTATTGTAACTAACTCTAATCTTCGTGTGGCATCTATATATATTTTTCCTCCACCTTCTTAAAATGTACTTTTCAGTTATATGATAAATCTCTTTATGAAGCAATACCACTATTGCATGTCAACAAATAATCCCTTTAAACTCAAACAATCGATAGTTGCAACAAACATCACAACCACGGTCATCATAACAAACCACAAAAGGCACACTACGACATGTCTCCCCGACCACGACAACTTCCTTTACAATATATTATATTTCAGATTTAGTGGCCTGGAAAAGATATCTCACAATGCAACTTAGCAGTAAGCTCTTGCTGAAACTTTTTGAATTTTGCAGTCGTGTATGTCTCCTGAAATTGTTTCTCCATTGGATAACCTGTTATGCAAGGAATCCATGATTTCCATGATCTAAAATCAGCCTCTTTTTCTTTTTCTACTTTATCACACAATGCATTCTCATATTGTTCTACAAACTTATTCAAAGTGGTTTTAGAATTTACATACCCATCAAAGAATGCATGCATACTTTCACTCTATTGAGTGGTAGACATACTTGTCCAATAGGTGTCTTTTACAAACGCTAGCACCCAACGTTGTCTTTCATTATACAGTCCAAGTAACCACTCATTGTCGTGAAGGTTGTATTTTTCAATGAATCCAATCCAACATTGTTCGAACTCCTCACATGTCAATGAATCATGCACAGCATTTTGCAAAGCAAACTTAATACGTTCGTATTCGTTGTAACCCTTTAACTTTTCCGGCAATTTCTTCATTATATGCCCCAAACACCATTTATGCCGTGTATCAGGAAACACAATCTTGATTGCATTTTGCATCACCTTGTCTTGATTAGTGATTATTGCATTTGGAGCACAATTCCACATACATCACATACATGCAAGCCAAGATTCAAAAAGCCAAACAAAAGTCTCCGTGTCCTCATGGGAGATTAACCCACAACCTAAGAGTGTTGAATGTCCATGATGGTCAACACCAACAAACGCCGCAAATGGCATATCATACTTGTTGGTCAAGTATGTAGGGTCAAATGTGACAACGTCAGCAAATTCCTTAAATACAGCCCTACTTCTTGCATCCACCCATATAACATTCTGTAATCGACCCTCCTCATCTAAATCCATCATGTAAAAGAAATTTGCATTATCTTTTTGCATCTTCAAAAAATATTTTTGGATTGCATAAGCGTCCCCGGCACCAAGTCGCATCCTCCTAACTTTTTTAATATAGTTTCTACAATCTTTTTGCAAGAAAGTCAAATTCTCAGGACCGCCTGCTTCAACTAACATGGAATTGAAATTTTTATTCGGCTTAATCTCAGCCCTATCATTTATTTCAAGTCTCCTTTTCATGTATGGTTGTATACCACGATTACTCTTGAAATATCTAGTTTTCGTTGGGCTACTAAGCTCATGGTTATGATTCAACCCCACTGAACATATTTTCCATTTTTCTTTACCACGTACAATTGCACCAACTCGAGCCTTACAATCTGTCTTTGTCACTGGGTACAATTTAAAAGCATTTCGGGTGTTACTACTCGACTTTCTAGTACAAGAACAAGCTAGTGTCGCGTTTGTCACCTCTCCATCATCTCCTTTCCTTGAGGATCTTATAATAACTTCAAACCCCATTCTATTCCCATAGCTTCTGTAGTATTGGAGAAGATTATAAAGTGAATCAAAAACCATCCCAAGCTCCGGCTCCCATTCCTCCTCTACACTTCCTCTATCTTTAACTTCTTCTAATTGATTATCCTGATTCATTTATATTATAATACCGAGAATTAGAATATTATAAGATAACAAATATGATAGAAACAAAACCATCAAAATTTTTGTTTAAACTACATTAACTTGTGCGTATACAAAAATTATCATTTATCATACAAACATGGGTACTCATTGATACATAATAATAACTTTGTTTCATTACAATGCTTACCCTTTCAGTATTAGAAACTGAAGCCTTTAACTATTCATTTATCTCCTCCATTGTCTGCTCCTGCATGTTATCAGCCTTTGTTTCTGCCTCTTCTGCAAAATCGTTAACAACTTAAATTCATTTTGAATGCAATGAACTAAACTAAACTTGTGTATTAATAATTAAGAAAAAAACAATTAATAATTACAATTAAATCAGGAAGATAATCTATTACATTTATGCAGAAAGTTCTATTCAGCACTCATGTTTCAATACATGGGTACTCTCTATGATTCCCATTTATCCACATGCATTAACTATATTTAAAGACACAACAATCCAAACCATATACGCTAGCACATCAAATCAAAGTAGTAACAACTAACTTCCCAGTTGTAAGAACTAAATGTTTTCTAAGATACCAAGAAACATCTCTCTTGGATATATAACAAGAAATTAATTTTTAACAAGAAGGTAGAAAACAGGAAGAAACATCCTTATGAAATAAGGGGCAAAGAGACAAGTGCCTTTACAGTAGGATATTTGCTACGAGTTAGCTAAATCTAAGGAAACAAACATGACAAAACAAAGTTGTTTCTTTTGTGCACTTGAAAATTGGGGAAAGACAGTCCAGATGGTTACTTTAGCCATTATGATTATATGATTATAATAACTAATATAAAAGATTTCTAAGTGTCTTGTTGAAAACTACATTATTAGTCCTCAAGAAAAAAGGTTCTAGACGTTACTAAAACCAGTCACCAAGTCATCCGATTTTCACCTTTTCTTCCCCAAATTGTGCAGTTCCCTTTCACCCTTTTACATTTGCACAAAATTTCCTCAATTTATTGGATTTACAAAGCTCCTTTTTACTATAATATTGTTTATCATAAAATTTATACATAGTTATACATGGTTCTCAACTCAAAAGCAACTCTCACTAGTCAGCGACAGAGATAAATGCGACGGCGACAATGGATGTCGCAATCGGCAGTTCAAATGCTCAAATTTGGGATGGGTAATTTGAGTTTTGAGTATGATTTAATTTGGGAGAAGATTTAGGTTATTAAGATTGGGATTTGAGAGAGAAGATTTAGGTTATTAAGATTGGGATTTGGGAAAGAAGATTTTAAGTTATTAAAACTGAGATTAGGGAGGCAAAAATTCGTTCTATAAGCTTAGCACAAAATTTTTTTCAGATTTTTTTTTTTTAACTTTCTGACGTGGCAAGTGACTGACGTGGTAAATGAATTGGCATCATCACGTCAAACGCCACATCATGTTGTAGGCTGGTTAGTAAAAATCAGTAGTATTTATGTTTCTTAATAACTTTTGGCATTTGATGCGACGTTGGAAATTGAGCAAAAATCATATTTAAAATTTGTATATATTTTTTTAAAGTAGACGACAATTGTTTATAGCAATTATTTTGATGGGGATAACGTTACCACTTATAAAACAGTATATAATATATATTCTGACTCTGATTTTATTGAATCAATGTTGTTTGGGTGTCAGCTATCATGGACTACATTTGATTGAATAGATAAAATATTAAGGCATGAGCCATGAGCCATGAGCCATGAGCCCTCATCGTCTTTTATATATGAAATCATTAATAGTCACCGCATATTATTTTCAACAGGGAGATCGACATTTTCCCACCCAAGGTTTGGCAATACAACACTTTCCCCCCCATCAAGTTTCAAAATGACACTTTCCCATATTTCGTCAGGTTTTATTAGTATTTTATGTTAATATTTGATTGAAAAGACGAAAATACCTTTAAATAGTTTATTTCTTAATTAGTTTATTATAAATTAAAATTTAGTTAAGTGAAAATTTTTACTCAATTATTTATTAGTTCAAGTGTAAAGATACATTTTTTTCCTTTGTTTATTTAATTAATTACAAATATTATTTTTCTATGTTAATTAGTAAAAATCAAAAACATTATAAATTTAGTAGACTATTGAATAATAGTGATGAGAAATTGATGACATTATAAAATAAATAAAAATTAAGGTTATTTATCTTTAAACAATTCTAAGCATTACCCCTTACTTTTTAGTTGGGGCTAACAATTTTTTCCTTTTTGACTTTTAATATTTGACTTTTTGGCTTATTAAAAAATTATAAAACCAAATTTTAAGGGTATTTTTGTCTTTTCAATCAAGTATTAACAGAAAATATAATAAAACCTAACGAAGGATGGGAAAGTGTCGTTTCCCCAAACCTTGGGTGGAAAAATGTCGTTCTCTCTTTTTAATAATACTATATTTATAAACAAATCTTACAAAGATTCTCATATAAAGTGAGATGACAAAAAATAAATTGAAGAGTGAAACAAAAAATTAAACTCATTATATTCATTATTCCATTCATCTTTTGTCACATTACTTTATATGAAGATCTTTGTAAGTGTATTACTCTATTATTTTATTCATCATCTTTAGTCTAGTCCTTTATAAATTTCTCACATTCTTGTGGTCTCAACATGGGTCCAATGTTTGACTTATTAATTTAGTAGGTTAAGAACCTTTACCTTAGCAAACTATTTCTTATTACCCACAACTACAACTTCTTATACCAATATAAAATTATATTTACTAATTTTAAACATTTCAAATAATATTCCTTTTTCTTTTATTCAAAATGATGCATTATAATTAGTTATAAGGATGACTATAAAAACCCTTATTGGTAATTCAAAACAAATGAATACCCATGGCCTTAAAAATAACAAAAAACAGAGGTAATTTTTGAAACTATTGGAGACTTACTGTGTTTTGGGATATTCACTTCACATGGGGTTTAGTTTTTCCTTTAATTAAAAAATCTTGGAAAAGATTATACAAGCCCTGAAATTCCACTTAATAACATAATTCTTACGCTACATCCATTGATCACCAGTGATTTGAATTTATAAGGTCTATGATAACCTTCGGGTCATCTTAGGCCCATCAACTAAGAATTTTTGCCCTTTGGGTCTCTTTATCTTTCTTCCTGGGAGATATAAATACTTGGAGGTTTTAGCTTTAGCTACAAACTTATCATTGTTATGACTTTTATCTTTAATGGAATATATGAAGGTACTATCTTATATTATTTATTTATTTTTATTTTTTTTGGTGATTGGACCATCTAAGTCAGCCTTGTCTAATTTCTCAGGACTCTGAAGTAAACGATCAAGTAAATACTCTAGTGATCAGTCTTCTTAGTAATAAGAGAAATCAAACTCAAAACTTTTTAATTAATACATCTAATGGTCTACTTGGGAGTTTTTTTTTTTTTTTCACTGGCTTTGAGGGGTTTTTAATTAGATTGATTTTGAGGCGTTTTAAAACCATTACTTGCCAGATTTTTTATGCACTAGTTTTAATTGGATCAAAAACTTTTTAGAACCAGTGTTATATATTTTTTTAAGGGTTTATAAAACACCCCAAATCTGGGTGTTTTGGTTAGTTTTAAAATTTTATTCCATGAATACCTTATCACTACAAAACTATCACAATTATATTAAAAAAAAATTTAACTATATTATGCGTGTCTCCAACCATATTAAATATAAAATAATTTTAAATAATCATACAAAAAATTATTAAAATCTCATTTCTACATGCTTTCTTGGAGAAGTAGAGTTACAATTTTTCAATCATTCTAGATGCTGTAAAGAATGACAAAGAAGGATAAAGAGACCCTATAAAAAATTGTTAGAACTGCTAGAACATAAACTCCAAAATACAGGTTAGGTGTTTTACCGCTATTAAAAACCCCTCAAAATCGCTACGATGGTTTACCCTCATATCTGCTATTATGAAACTCTCAAGCGGACCCTAAGAGTCTTTATTGCCTTACCCGACCACCCAGAGTGGTTTTATAATATTTTGAATTTAAGACAAATTTTTATTTTTAAAATAATTAAAATGTCTTATAAATTATCCAAATTGTATGCCAAATGAATGACTTTATATCATTGCATAAAATTTGCAAAAATTAATCTCTAAGGGGGCGTTTGGTTAGGAGGTATCTGACATTACTGAGAGTAAGTGATCTTATATTACTTAATTATTATGTTTGGTTATCAAGTAAAATAAGATACCGGTAATCTTCAAATACCAATAGTGGTTACTATTGGTAATATTGGAGGTAATCTGATTATCTCTATTTTCTTAGGTATTTTAAGATTACCAGGGTTATATTTTTTTGTTACAATTTTATCTCTTATTAATAAAAATTTTGGACAATCATACCCCTATTTTAAAAGAAATTTACATTAATATCTTATTTCAATTTTACCATTGTTTAATTAAAATTTTGGACAATAATGCCTTTATATTTAAAACAATTTACAGACCACTACTGCCACCCAGCCACCACCGCCAACAGTGGGCCAACCACTATGGACCGCCGCCGAAAAGTTGTTGGAGCCCCTAAAAAAGAACGAGATTCGGTAGGAGGCTCCGGGAGACTTCGGTAGGGCCATTTCCAGCCATATCAAGCTAGATCTGGCCATTAACTGTCAGATCTATTCTGGCCGCTAACGGCCAGCTCCATGGCCGTTAATGGCCAGATCTCGTCCAGATCCGGCCGATAATGGCAAGGGATATGGTCGTTAACGGCCAGATCTGGCATGATATGATCGTTTTCGGCTATCAATATGGCCAGAAACGGCCATATCGAAGCCTCTTGGTGACGGTGAGCTACTCACAGGGACTTTCGGAGACTTCCGATGGTGGTTTGCAGTGATGGCAGGAGGTGGGGGTGATTTCGTCATAAATTAAAGTTTTATATAAGCGGGGTGTTTTAGCTAAATCTGAAATATTGGGGTTAAAAGAAATTATTTAAAAATTAATAATAAAAATAATATTATATTAATATTTAAAAAAGGGACAATCTAATAATTTAAATAACATACCCACCAATTTATTTCTCATAACCAAACATATTAATATAATATACCCACCACATAATCAAACATATTTTCCTAAAGATTCTCAGTAATCTTCCAAACTAATCTATCTTTTCAATAATCCAATATTCCTACTAATTTAACATTTTTGAATAAAACGCACCCTAATAATATTAACAATGACTTGACCGGAAATGGTAGAATTTTCCTGACCCAAATCTATGAGATATAATGTGTGATAGTATTTAAATTTCAACCTCCAACCAACAGTGAACAGCTGACGGAGCTGAGCACTAACATGTGACGTGCGGGACCGTGGGTGATTATCATATGTTGGTTGACTTGGTTCCCTCCAAGTCCAAGCCCATGAATTGAAACACACACGTAGGCACTGTGACTCTGTGAGCACCAGTTAGGGTTTAAGACGTCCAAAATAAAAGAGAAAACCCCAGAACCCCCACAAAACAAACTAAAATGGAAGTACAATCAATTTGTCTTGGAATTCCCGTCCCACAATTCAAGTCCTCAAATGATCGTCTCCTTGCTTATCGAATTGTAAGCAATTACTCTTCAATTTGATTCTTTAACCTTACATTTCTTCTGAATTTCCTTTGTTATAATCACTTATCTTTATCTCTGATTGTAATCTTACAATTTAAGGTCTCTCCAAGCCAAGTCGGATTCAAAGGTCCCAATGTTTGTCTTCAAAATACATATAGATGTATAATCTCTTTTGCACTCTACTTTTATCTGTATCAATGCTATTTTGTTTTATTTTTTTGGTTGTTGAGAAGACTGAGGTTTAGCAATTGTTTTAATTGTTAATTATACTTAAGAATGTACTTTTACAGCGCATATTTTCCCTGGTTCAACGCGTAAAACTGGAGGGTCTTTGTTAAGGCCTTTGCCAAGAGGAGCTATTGTATGTGCCTCTAATTCTGATACTGAGGCAAAGTTGGACCTTTCTAAGAGCGAAAATTCTGGTGTAGCCGTTGGTAGTTTTAATGGGGTGGAGCCATTTCGTGGGAAATCCGGTTCTGTTTCATTTTGTGGCTTAACTCACCAGCTAGTGGAAGAAGGGAAGTTGATGTCAGCTCCTTTCCAAGAAGACAAGGGTTCTTTTCTCTGGATTCTGGCACCTGTTGCACTCATACTGTCGTTGATCCTTCCTCAGTTTTTACTTGGCAATGCAGTAGAAAATTTCTTCAGGAACGAGGTTCTCATAGGTAAAATTGTCAGTTGCTTGCTTTTATGTTTATCAACAACCTTAATATAATATGTTTTTGTGTGCAATTTTTTTTAATTGTTTCAATACATGATGGTTTCTTCCTGATCAATTTTGTATCACATGCTTTCAAGTTGCAATGTTAGTATGAAAAGGAAAGCTTTATAGGATAAAAGCCCAAAGTCATTAGGTTTAAGGGGTTTATGCAGTAAGATAAAATATAATGGCCTTTACTTCGAGGGAGTAACACGTGTTTGGATGTATTATGGGGAGCTGATCCCAAATATTGGAAACAAAATTTCGTGGATGATACATTTTGGAGTGAAGAGACTGACCTACTTGAAAGAGAGAGTATGCGGATTTCTTTGAACTTTCTTATTGAGAGGTAAGAATCACAAGAAATGTATAAGATCAAAAACTTAGCCCATGAATCAACCAACTGGGTTAGCAGAATTAAAAATGAGTCTGAAGTGAAAAAACGGTCACAATTTGTTTGTTCTTAGCAGAATTACACAGTTTTTTTGGGGACATTTTTCTCCCTCTGGTGTTAAATATTTCTTCTTATCCTACAAAATGAAATAGAAAGGGTGGATAAAGAGTAAAATATTCAGGTTTCTGAAAGGTACACCATATGCTTATTTTAATTGAGGGTGGTAATCTGAATTTGGCAATTTGAAGTCTTAATCTGGTGTTGCAGTCCCTAAGCATTAAACAGAGGAGGCTATGGAAGAGGGATAGAAAAACCCTTAATTTATCAAGTAAATTTATATGCTTAGCTCCGGGTATAAATGTGTTGTTTCTGCATGATAAATGGCAGTTCACTTGTGAGTCATTGGCAGCGAAAGAGCCAAAGCAGACTGGACTTCATGTTTATTCTCGTCTAAATTGTTATACTTTCAGATTACAAAATTTCGTAACATGGAAATTACTTTAACGAACAGATGAAGTCACAGAGTCATAGAAAACTATTTTTTTTTTTAATTATATTCAATTAGTTTTCCTTTGGATTGATCTTCACTTCTTCAATGTGGTTCCACAATTCTGATCACAAGTAGCCAACTCAGATATAGGCCTCTTTGGGAATCTCCTTTTCCTTTTTGTGTTATGAGTTTCCTTGTGTTCTTTTTTTATTCAAAACCAAGCATGACACGAGTTATTCCATACATTCATGATTATTTTTTGCCTGTATCTTAGTGTTTTTAAGAATAAATGTTCCAAAGATAATTTCCCTTGTAATAATCATGCAGAGATTGTGGCTTCACTATTTTCTGAGTCTGCGTTTTATATTGGTCTTGCAACATTTCTGCTTGTGACTGATCATGTTCAAAGGCCATATTTGCAATTCAGTCCAAAGAGGTGGGGACTCATCACAGGTCTCAGAGGATACTTGTCATCTGCTTTCTTCACAGCAGGCTTTAAGGTTGTTGCTCCTCTCTTTGCTGTCTATGTAACTTGGCCAGTGCTTGGCCTGCCAGCCTTGGTTGCAGTGTTTCCTTTTCTATTTGGCTGTGCAGCTCAACTTGCATTTGAGACATATCTTGACAAGCGTGGGTCATCTTGTTGGCCACTGATTCCAATTATTTTTGAGGTATTTCTTTTTGATTTAAGAAAATGTGTTCTCTTAATTTAAGTTTATGTTTCTGATACCCAATTTGTCATGTTGATTGCAGATATATAGACTATATCAGTTGAGCAAAGCGGCTCATTATATTGAGAGGTTGATTTTCTCGATGAAAGATGCTCCAAGCTCTCCAGAATTGCTGGAGAGAAGTGGTGCAATGTTTGGCATGGTAGTGACTTTTCAAGCCCTTGGTGTGCTTTGCCTCTGGTCACTGTTGACGTTTCTTCTAAGGCTCTTTCCTTCAAGGCCAGTGGCTGAGAACTACTGATTTTTACAAGGGATACTGTATATTCATTTCTAAAGGTTTTTGAACTCCTTCACTAAAGGGTTGTACATTTAGGTAAATGCTAGCTGTTGCCATGGCGATGATGTAATGATCTTGTGGCCACAAAGTTTTGTTCCAATTGGGATGTTTGTTTGAGATGGTTCTGAAGGTTGAGATTTTGGGTGCCTAGATACGGGAAATGAGGTTTGATAGACTGAAACTGTTTCTATTAATTGTTGCTCACTTAGATTCTTATTGCATCAGTACAGCCGAAATTTTCTTTATCTGTGGGGGGGTTATCCGCCTCGACATGGTGAAGTGTACAGGCGAAGGGAAGATTTTTCCTCTTGCCAATGAAGCACATAATCTTTAGCACCCGAGTATATCTGCCATTTTTTATATGTATAAAAAAGAGAATAGCGGAAAGGCAAATTCAGTAATTCCCCAATTGACTTCCAAGAGGAATAGTCTGATAGTAGGCGTGATAATTTAACATAAATAATAAAAGCAACACATCAATCGATCATATCTTGAATCAATTGATGACTTGACATTTTACAGGTCTGAGTAAGACCCTAATACTTAGAACTCTTTTGGGTGAGAAAAGCAAAAAGAAAAAGAAGGAAAAAAACATTAAAAGTTTCAAGCCCCCCTTTGTCCTCATAGAAGGCCATGTAATTATGCAAATAACAATCTCTCTATTGATCATTAACACGTAAACAATAGCATAGTTGTTTCCATACAGATGAACGCATGCGACAGGCCATCTAAACATGTAATTACAAGTCTGAACCACAACAGTGGCCTTAAATCTTCCAAGTTATTGCAGCCTTTGATGACATGGTTTCATCTCCAATACCAAATTTCTGCTTCTAAGTCGACAGAGCAACACAGTGTCCTACTCAAAGATGAGATGACATACAGAATCAGGTTTTATGAACTAGGAAGGAGCTCCATAATTCTAAAAGAAATTAGTTTTCACCAGTAATCTCGACAGGAACATTTCCCATCCTTAAAATGGTGAAACCTCTTATTGTCTCTAACAATTATCTCTCTTTTCTCAATGCTTGAAAGTATCTTGACAAAGTTGTGACAATCTCCGCAGATCCTTAGATTCTTGATGATCCTTAGGGTGGTTCCAGGAGGAGTACTGATTAGCCCATAAGCAATGGCCAAACTTTCACTGTGATACATCAATGCCTTCTCTTTTGCTTCTTGGTCGAGATCATGAAGTACATACTTTGTGTCTGGCACATAGCCAGCTTCTCTCACCTCCTTACCCAAAGACCTCAGCTTTTCATAGGCCTTGCTTCTCTCTGGACTTGCTTTCTTTTGGTTTGAAATTAAGCTGTCCCTTACCTTCTTCTTATTACTAAGTCTCAAACCCGAAGGTGATACAAATGAACCCAATTCACCAGGCTGCTCTGTACGTCCAGTTTTGGTGTACTTTTCTAGTGTCTCCCTCACCACAGAGCTTGGTTCAATTGGCATGTTTTTAATGATCTCTTTAGCCTCAGTAATCTTCTGTGACCTTCCAAGAAGATCAACAATACTCTCGTAATGCTCCATTGTTGGATTGATAGAATAATCCCGGCTCATCGACTTAAAGTGTGTTAATCCTTCCTCCACTGCTCCTAAGCAAACACAAGCCTCCATAACACAATCAAAAGTAGACCCATTCGGCCTCACCCCGGCTTCTTTCATCTGGCCGAAAATTTGAAGAGCTTCTTTTCCTTCCCCATTTTCTGCCAAACCTAGCAGCATCAAATTCCAAGAATCCAAATTTTTATCAGATATTTGCTCAAACACTTTTTTTGCACTTCCAGTATCACCCAGTCCACAGTACATTTCCACCAATTTATTAAACACAACGGAACTTGGTTTTGATGGAGACCTCAGAACATACTCATGAACCATTTTTCCAGCTTCCAACAATTTCAAATCGACACAAACCTTAAGCAATTCAACGATATCGATGGAGCCCAAAAAAACTCCCTTCTTTTCCATTTTATCCATTGCCTGAAGAGCTGCTTTCACTTTCCCTTCTCTGCATAAATGTTTAAAATCCAAGCTTACCTGATTATCTCCTTGAACATGAACAGTTTGTTGAGAAGAACTTGAAGCTACCATTAAATTTTTATACTTTTTAGTATCTTGAATACTCCTTGCCAAAGAACTGGTGGGACAATATTTAGCGCAAACAACATACACACCAACCATTTCTATAAACGGGCACGGAGGAAGATTGAACTTCACTTTCTCAAAAGTACTTGAAGATGAAAATTTAGACATTGGGAGAGAGCAGTAACTCAACCTAGCAACTCCAGCCATTTCATAGGTTTCAAAAGGTTGAATTGGAGAATAGAATTGGAATTGTGTATCGGAGAAATGAGAAAATCTTCCAAGCCCACTCTCCAAATTATGAAAAGAAACCCTTATCCAAAGGAACCATCTCGCACTCAAAAATATCTAGCAAAACCGCTATGCCCTTGGCCTTAGAGAATGGAAGTTGTGGTAAGCGGTCCAAATTGACCCCGCCAACATCATTTAGCGAGTACTATGTTAGTATAATTCCAGGGTTGAGTTAGTATATTTAAAAAAAAAAAAAAAAATGTGTACTGTTATTTGTTAGCATAATACGATTGTGATCCACCGAATATTAAATTGTACATAATGTGGAAATATAGGATTTACAGGACCACGAAATACTATAAGGTAACTAATGGAACCCAAAAACACTGCACTTTCTTAAATCATGGGGCATTTTTTATAAGTCTTCCTTAAAATTATTATTATATCGGAAGGAGCTACAGAGGCGATATTTATCATTTTTGTTATAAACAGAGTAAGCAATCTATTGCAGTAAACAATGGACCTAATCTGTCCTTTTGAAAAACAAAAAGGTCCGAGAGATTATGTTTCTATAATGATAGGAAATTGGTATTACATCCATTGTACAGAGGGACAATCCTACCGGATAGTCTTAGCTCTGATTTCAACAACTCATGGATTGGGGGCCTGAGGCTATGATGGAAACACAGATTATATTTCTATAATGATTCTATCATATTGGGTTCGGTCCAGAACTAAATAGTTCCGTGGCATACGAGCTAGAAGTTTTTCTCTGAAATCTCTAAAAAGAGGACGTTTTTCTTAATGACTTCAACCTGAAAAACTTCAGAAAACTCCTTGATCAAAGAATTGTTAGTGATATGTATTAGCTGGCAGTTGTCAGGATGGTCTAAATCTGTTTCCCTGCATCCATTGGATGACTGATCTATTTTAAGCAGCCTCTTAATGCTTCCAACCTGACGATCTTGAATACCACATGGGACAATCCAACTAAAGGGTGATAGATCTGTGGTGACATTTAGTGCTAAACCATGATATGTAATCCACTGAGATGCACGTATCCCTATCGCTGCCAGTTTTTGATTTCCTGTTGAAGAATTCCAGAAAGAGAAAAAAGATCAAGAGTATGCAGCATTTAGGCTAACAAAATAAAATCAGGGCAGAAAGGGTAAGCATAACTGATATAGCACAATAGATCGCTCTTATAAGATCTAAGTAAAGGCACATCATAACGAGGTAGCAAAACCTGCCTATTTCCCAACATATAGCTTTCACTATATAACAGATCAAGCCCTGGTCCCTCAATGAGCGAGATCAAAAAGTTGTTCAATGAAGGATGTTAATTAATTGAATCTTTCCTACAGCCTTTATATATGTTCTGCTAGATTTCAGTGGAGTCTCAACAGTTCGAAATAATATGGAGTCTGTCTGTTGCTGATTCATAAGAATTTCTCAGTTGGACCAGTGATTAATAATCAAGGCTAGAAAATAAGCTTTAACTACTATATGTGCTTTTTCTCCTCATTGCATCTACCAGATTCAACTTGTACTTGAGAAAAAAATATCAAGTTTGCAATACAGCATAAGAAAAATTCAATTAAGAGATTTAGATAACCATTAATAAATTGATAAAAGCAATCATAATCATAACTCAATAAATCGAAGAAAGTGTTTCATCTTAAAAAACATTCATCTTAAAAAAACTCAACGTACCTCCTAGATGCTTAGGGACATCTAGGAAAGATGAGGCGAACTTGGAATATTAAGAATGGGCTGGGGTCGATAGCACTTTGACAGATACCACATTCTGTTTTCTATTTGATGATTGGATGGAATTTAGACAAAACATATTTACCAGTAGTTCAGACAATTCGCTTTATACTAATGTCAATAATATATGACATCAACTTAGAGAAAATAACTAAATTTTACTTGTTACAACACATAATATGTAGTAGTGTGAAACGCATAGACCTACTTGTATAAAGAGAGATCAAGAGTGCTTACCAACCCAAACCCCAGTTAAACCCTCAACTCGGGAAGCCTTGACAGAAAATGTTGAGAAAAGAACACGAATGACAACCTCCTCAAGAGCCCTGAGGTACCAATGAAGATCCATCTTGTGATTTCTCAGATTGATGATAGGGTACATAACTAGCTATATGGAAACAAAAGCATTGCAAGTTAGGACCGTTACTCAATATCCAATTAATTTGCAAAAGGAAGTTTGATTTTTGATCTTCACAATGTTATACATTTTTAATACTAAAGACAAAATGAGATGCTATTGACATGCGCCAATTACTGAATCGCTGCATTTAAGATATTAGAGGTTAGTTATGAGAGTGTCACCTGGCCAGGACCATGATATGTAACTTCCCCGCCTCGTTCGGTCCGATAAATTTGAAAAGGAGGATTCTTTAAGTCAAAATTAAGGTACTTCTCTGAACTAGCAGTGCCCAATGTATAAACAGGACTATGTTGTAGAATAATCAAAGTGTCTGGACATTCTTCATTTCTTTCAATCAAAGCCTTCTTTTCCTCAACAATGTTCTTTTGCCAGGACCACGCTTCGTTGTACGGAATTATCTCCTTGTAGAAATCATAACACTCGCACCTGAACCAATAATGTAAGATGATCAAGTTGAATTAGCTTCAATGCCTGGGAAGTGTTTGTGAAAAGAATTACTTACGACTTTGTGTTTCGATGGGTTATTGTAGCGTTAGAATTGAAGCCTTGGTTTGTTATGGAGAGGCTCTTGCGAGACTGAGAGTGGGTTTGGCGAGGTTTTTCTGACTGGTCGAGAGTGGGACATGTTGGGACTGAACCATAACTTGAAGCTGCAGCTAGAATCATGTTCTTTTATCTCTATGATTCGCAGCAAATAAGAATAAGAAGACAAGAAGACTCCATTGAACAGAGATACTTCAACCCAAATTCCAGTTGCAGTTTGTTGCAGAGCTCATTGAAGGATTGAATTGGAGGAAGCGGAGTGACCAAAGCTGAACTTGCATCCCGATAATCAAGGCCGTCAAAGGAATGGGTCCCACCCGCGCTGGTGGACGGTGGAGATGCAAATCATAACTTGCAATTCTAACCTTCTAATATGTAAGTGAGTAGGGGTAATTTGGGCATTTAAAATAAGTAGCTGTATGTGGTTATTTTCGTACTTTCGGCACTGGAGCAACAGCGAAAACCCTAAACAGATTAACACTAGTATAAAAGAAGATGAGGTCCTAACGGGAGAGGCACTGGTGATCTGTATGCAGCAGTCAAACGCTTTCAAATGACAGTAGCTTCTTCTGGTAATTTTGTTTTAATTCTCTTTTGTGTTAATAGTGATTTCTAAGATGAGTATGAGTGAGTGATTGATTGGGGTTATCTCTGTGATGATGAATTTCGATGACGAGTCCGATAACTAATCCATTCACCTTGACGACAAATCGAGGCATTTGTCTGAGAGTAACCCCCATTCACCTTTTGTTTTCATCTTCTGGTTTTTAATGTGTTTTTCTCAGAGGAAAAATGAGGCCTTTAACTTATAGATTGCTTTGAATAGGCGAAACCAAATGTTTTTGCAGTCTTGAAAATTGAAAGAATCAAACTTTTTGTTTTTTTTGTGATTTCTCATAACCAAGCTGACTTAATGTTTTATATCAGTGTAGATCGTAGTGATACAAAAACTTCCATTTTCCTTCCTGGAGTTGCATACTTCTAGGGCTGAGTTCTTGACCTTCCATTTGCAAACCAGATGACTTCCGGCTGCATATGACTGTTTATTGCAAGATCAATCAAACTTAGATAGTAATATGATCAGGAAAAGGTAGTTAAGGGCGAAATCGTTAGTTATTGTTCTGGCCAAAAAAACAGAACGAAAAATATTATGCCTAAAGAAACAGAGTGACAAAAAAAAAACTCCTTAAAATTTGTGCTTTATGGATTATATGAGAAAGCTTACCATATCTATAAGAAACTCGTACTATATGAACAAGACCATATATGATAACTTTGGACTTGGATTGGATTTAGTTTATGAAAACTTGGACTTCGATTGGATTTTGTTGGTGAGAAAACATGGCATGCAAAGATGCCTCCCAGGCTGATCATATTTTCTGGATGCGTAATATCTAGGCTAGAAGAGGCAGGTCTCAACATCAAGATTGTGGAAACACATGCATTAGTGGTTCTACATGCACATCAACAATTAGTTGTACACTCCTTGTTGAATGTTTCGACATGCAAATCATTAATTAGTTGTGTACTCCTAGTTGAGCCCTTTGCATGAGGATTTAATGTGTTAAAAGTTTTCAGAGTTTGAATTAGTTTGGTTGAATGTACAAGGTTTCCAAGGTTAAAAATGTTTATGGATGTATCTGTTCTGTGATAACAGGGAATTTGTTTGGATTATATCCCTACCTCAACCATTTCTACCCTAAATCCTCCAAAGCCCCAATGTTGGTGTGATTAGGTTTTACTGCCTGGACCTCACTGCAAATATATTATGCAATATTGTCACTATTACACTATTATTAGTATTTTTTACTTGTGGAATGATTCTTGGAATTCTCCCCTGCCAGTTGAAAATATTTTGTGGAATTAGTCCTTAAAAGATATTTTTTTATGAGTCTAGCTTAGGGTTCTTGATAAATCAGTTCATTGGGGAGAGGGGTGGTGGTTGAAGGTTGGATTTGTGGTTTACACCATATAAATTGATTCAGTATTCAACTTTAATGTCTTTCATGTGGGCATTTAAAGAGAGAATGCGGCTGTGATGAAGCAAAGACCTTTTATTTTATGAGGCAATTTCTATGATTATATCTCAAGCACTTTTGAGCTGCATCGCATAAGAATAAGATCTTTATGCATCCTTATGCTGTTTTGACATTGTTTTATAAATTATTTGACCATCATGTAGAATATGTGGCAGTAGTTTGTATTTGCTTATACAAACTATTTATTTGCACTTTTCTATGTTTATCTTTGCAGAGGAACTTAGTATTGTTCTTATGTTGATTGTATGTGTTTTGTATGTTAGTTGGGTGTTTTTACTGACATTGGGTATGAGGTTTAATTGGTTGTTTGATCTCTTTGTGATAGAATTTGATATATATAATTATATATCAAATTACAGGTAATTGGATGGACAAACATTGGGTTAGAATAAGAGTTATCTCCAAGTCACTGATCATGTTTTCATTCTCTTGGGCTCATGCCAATTATAACTATTTTTGATTCTTCATAAAGTGGTGGATTTTCTTTTTTAGTAATATCTATGCACCTATGGAACCATCTGTTATAAACTAGCTAACCATTGCAGGGCTTTTACCAAGAAGATAGATCGAAGGTGCTGTCAGGCCCTGGGAGGCATCATGACTCAAGGGATGCTGTAGTCTTTGCGATTTACAACCTTGATTCTAGCCTGATAATTGCTTTTCTTTTTGATGATGTATTCTTGTAAATTTTCCTCTTGACAATGTCTGAGGTTATTTGTCCTTTGGTCAACAATTTTTTTTTTGAACATTCTTTATTGAAATGTATCTATATTATGGTATTATGTGGATATTTCTAGGGCAGCATATTATATCGAATATATTTTGCCCAGCAGTAATAAAGCACATTGAAACTGTGCGATGTTTTCTTTAGGCTGATTTAGGTGGTGATGGAATGCTTTAGATGAACCTCTCATCTTTGTTATATTGAGTTGATTTCTTTCTTAGCTCTAGCTTGCGTTGTCAAATCTTTGCTCCGTTTTTTTATTTTTTTATTTATAAATTAGAGTCCAATGAAATTGATGAAGCGGCTGTGAAGCTGTTGACTGTTGAGTGGCCTCATCTTCCATTAACCAAAATTTCTTACTGATGGAGCTAACAGCACATAAACCGGTGGGAACATGCTATGTTTGCTCGATTATTTTTTTCACACCATACATTATTTGACTTTGTGTATTTAGTATTCTAATATCAGATTTATGACTACAATAATATAAACTATTCCTTACGAATCGTGATGTGATAATTATCTTATGAAAATATATCAATTTATATATGAAGTACGGGTAATACTGTAATACTATATTTACAACTTAATCTCATAATTTTTTTTTCACAATTTCGACGTGGTAGGGTCAGTTCGCAAATAGGTTTTGTTTATTTGTTATGGGTCTTGTTTGTCTAATTATGAACTGATTAATTACAAGCTATCACATCGAGATTGTGAAAGAAAATTTATAATATTAGGTTGTGAATTAATCCTTTATTTACTTTATTAAAATAATAAATAATAAATCTATCATATTTTCTCGGCTATTAATTAAACTAAGGCTACGCTGTAAGTAGATTCTCCTGTATGTGATTTACAACAAAAGGAGGACCGTGTGTTCAGTCGAGTAGAAAGATGACAGAAAATGAAGGTAACAGGAAAAATAGGGTTGAAGTGAAGAATGGTTAGGTAGCCAAAATGCAAAGGTGTATCCTGTTGTCGAGTAGCAGGTCAGGGCCGCCGACTACTATTCCTTAACGCAAGCATGGTAGTACTAGATTCTCTTTGCGATCAAGACCAAGCCAACGATGGAGAACATGAAACTCCAAATATTTTTTTTTTTTTAAAAGATACGCCATTAACATATGTTCGGCTCACATCGTAAGAGGACCCACACGTTAACGAAACCAATAACCAACGTGAATTTTATTGTAGAATTTTCGATTGTCAAACTAAAAGTTCAAAAATGAGACCAACTTCTCCAAGTAAAAGCCCAAAAGTGCATGTANCAGGGCCGCCGACTACTATTCCTTAACGCAAGCATGGTAGTACTAGATTCTCTTTGCGATCAAGACCAAGCCAACGATGGAGAACATGAAACTCCAAATATTTTTTCCCCGAAAGATACGCCATTAACATATGTTCGGCTCACATCGTAAGAGGACCCACACGTTAACGAAACCAATAACCAACGTGAATTTTATTGTAGAATTTTCGATTGTCAAACTAAAAGTTCAAAAATGAGACCAACTTCTCCAAGTAAAAGCCCAAAAGTGCATGTAGCCAAAAACTCCAGCTTATATTCCACGAATCTTCTCTTTCTCACATTGCATTTGCATGGTATATAAACAACCAACTTCGCTCACCACAATCGATGAATAAATAAATAAACCCCTAAACCCTCAAAATAGTTGCAATGGCAACCTCAAGATTGTTCCGAACTTCTAAACCTTTGCGTCATGCAATTTCTTCTTCTACTTGTCCATCTTCTTCATCAACAAATACTGTGAGGTGTATGAATAAGGCAGGGTTTAATGGGGAGAAGAGAATTTGTGGGAATGCTGATCAGATGAGATCAACGGTGCCCATAAAAACATCTGTGGCTACGTCAAATAGGATGTTGATCACAACAGGGCCAAAGGTTGATCCAGTAATTGATCTTGCTTCTTTGCTGGCTGACGTTATTGATGCCGTGCTTAAGGTGTTAAGGCAAATTTTGGAGCGAAGACCTTGGAAATTAATCCAGATGCTCATTGAAAGGGTACGTCTATGTTTTTATTTAATTGAATACTACTTTTGACTTATATTCCTGTTTGTTGGCGGAATTCTTCCATCTCAACCTGATAATTTTAGTGTTGGTTCTTGATATTCCTTTTCATAAATTTGGATGAACACAACTTGCATCAGTCTTAGATATAGATCAGTAGACAACGATAATTCTGACAGATTAGTTACATTTTTATGCAACTTAACGGAATGTTCCTCTTGTTAAACATGATGACATGATCAAAGATATTAAATCCCAAGCACAAACTTCATATAAGTAATAAAGATTAATTTTTTAAGCTGAAATCGTGCAGGGTATAGTTGATTGTCGGTTTTTCACATTATTTGCTGTTGCGGGATCCTTACTCGGTTCAGTATTGTGTTTTCTGGAGGTAACCTTTTAAACTAAGAAACATCTAATGATTGATTTTTAAGCAGGGTCCTCGTATATAAAACTAAAGTCTGACAAACATTTTATATTTGCAGGGTTCCTTTCTTGTGGTAAAATCATATTTCCAGTTTTTCAATACGTTATCTCCAAAGACTGATCACGGACATATGGTTCATCTGATTATAGAAGCCATTGGTACTCCTTGTTTTCACACTCTTATCTACATTTTTGTAAGCTTTCTTGAATGTACCCTTTTTAATTATGTCAATCTTTAATGCAGACGTTTACTTGGTGGGAACTGCTATGCTAATTTTCGGGGTAGGATTGTATGCCATGTTTGTGGGACCAAATAATATTAAAGAGAAAGAACGAGGGCTTTCAGGGTCCAATTTATTTGGGCTCTTCTACATGACGGTAAGTCTGTCTCCTCCTTGTTCATTCGGAAAATAAAAATTTAAAAAAAAAAAACAAAAAACCCTTCTGTGCAGAGTAGAATTCATTTTAATGGACTGCAACTTTCTTCTTTCAGAAACTTCCAAAATGGATAGAAGTGGACTCAATTTGGGAAGCTAAATCAAAAATAGTGCACGCTGTAATGATGATACTTCAAGTGGGAGTGCTGGAAAAATTCAGCACTACACCTCTTGTTACTAGTTTGGATATGGTTTGTTTTGCTGGAGCTGTAGTAATTTCCTCAGCGTGTATCTTCCTTCTCTCCAGACTTTCTGTGGCCGGTAATATAGAAGGATAGGTAGCTGTGGCTATTTTCTTCAAACAGATCAAGACAAAGTGTACTCAAATTCTTTTTTGGTTATTCATATTCTTTTTGTACCATAAGCAGTAACTCAAAACGAAAAGCATATTCCGAGCCCCTGTCAATTGCCATAATGTAAAAGGCATGTATTGAGCATACAAACAATGAAACTTAGTAGGATTACCAATAAATAATGTACAAAAAACCCACAGGCTACTGTTTACCATTTACTTTGTGACGGATACCTGCGGCACTATTGTCTCTTGTAATATAATATTTGTTTCTGTTACAGCAGTAAACGAACATTCAGTTTCTTCGAATTGCTTTTTTCTCGTCTTATTTTTCCGGTTTACTCTTATAGTGCCATATTTCTTTTCTGGTATGATTTACGATAATAGTTTCCTTCTGCGTTCTAACATTTTTATGATTTTATCTATATAAATTTTAATATCAATAATAGCCTTGATTTATAGGTTAAGATTTCCAACGTCATCCACAAAAGCTTTGATAACGGTAATTGGACCAAGCATTTATCAGGATCCATCTTAATCTTGTGGTTTTAATAGCTAATTATTTCAATTTTCGTTTTTCTATTGTTGAGAAACTCTACGGCCATATCCGGATCTCAATCTGAAAAAATTCAGGACTAATCAGCAGCAAAAATTGCTGGGAAATCACCCATATTTACATATTCTGCCCTGGAATAAGCTGACATGAATAAACAGACATCCTTTTCACCACAAGAGGCAACTATGAAAAACAATTACAATTCATTAGGGATAAAAATTGATATAGTAGGCATGACCGCATGANATTTCCAACGTCATCCACAAAAGCTTTGATAACGGTAATTGGACCATGCATTTATCAGGATACATCTTAATGTTGTGGTTTTAATAGCTAATTATTTCAATTTTCGTTTTTCTATTGTTGAGAAACTCTACGGCCATATCCGGATCTCAATCTGAAAAAATTCAGGACTAATCAGCAGCAAAAATTGCTGGGAAATCACCCATATTTACATATTCTGCCCTGGAATAAGCTGACATGAATAAACAGACATCCTTTTCACCACAAGAGGCAACTATGAAAAACAATTACAATTCATTAGGGATAAAAATTGATATAGTAGGCATGACCGCATGAAGTCCAATTGACAGAATTTCAACCAGTGAAGACAAAATAATCAAATTATGGGATAATTTGTCAAAACTTTAAAAAATAATTACAGCAGACTAATTAAAGTCTAAATTTTAATAGGAAGTGCTAAAGATTATACAAGATATTTCTCAATTTACATGGAAGCTAAAAGATCTCTCATTTCTGTCACAGATGGGATGGCCTCGTTGGGGTAAATCTTGGCAACAAGTTGTGCAAAACTGTCGTACTTGTCCAAAAACTCCTTCTGTCAAATTTAAACCACATAATTTTGTTAGTACTCATTTTTCTATGTTATTGTATGCTGAGGGTTTGTTATTATTATTATTATTATTTCACTTATACAAGTTCAGAGCTCAGAATATTGTATATAACAGTCCTCTTTTCTTATTAGGCTTTGAGTTTCTACCTTTTCCACTATGTTTTCACAGTAGTTCCATGTGCGATACATGATTCTCATGCGATTTACTTGGGATAATTAAAAGAATACTCATTTTGTAATATTTTATACCCATTCACTTTACAGCCAAAAATACCTGAAATGAATATTCAACTACCAAGATCCAAAGTCCAAACTCTTTTATATTTTTGAAAAAGCAGTCAGCTTACCTTGCATTTGTCCCATAAAGAAGGCAATAGTTCCTCAGAAGTTAAGTTCTTCTGCAACTTCTTGTACATTGCAGCAATGGACTTGTCAACCTGTATCAAAGTTGTTAACATAGTTTTATTAGTGTTCAGTACTAGGTAAAAGATATTACAGAGGTGAACAAACTTACCCCAGATAAACTGGACTTCACCATCTTCCGCAGATCCATTTTAGATAATCCAAGCTGGAAAGGAATCTGAAATTTTTGAAAAGGAACAAAAAAAAAAAAAAAAAAAAAAAAGAGAGCACAAAAAAGTCAGCAAGAGAAAAATAAGATATAACGTGCAGAACAGCTAATTGGCACCGAAGTGAGGCTAAAATTACAGCAATCCCATATCAACGCTATAGTAGACAGCACCAATATAATCTAAAAAATGTCTCAACTACAGCACATAAATTTGAGAATCAGCAAACTACAGTATGTCGCTTGTGCTAAAGCAGATATGCATCTAGATGTAGGGAAATGTAAAAATGGAAGATAGTGAAATGAACATAGATATATTGACTATTGTATATCTCTCGGTTATACTTCGGGCCAGCCTAATGAATAATGCTATATGCCCTAACCAATGTGTACTAATCCAAGTACTAACATTGGAAATTTGAAATTTTTTTTGGAGGGAATTTCAAATTTCCAATGTTAGTACTTGGTTTAGTACCCATTGGTTAGTGCACATAGTTTTATTCTTTAAGTAGTAACATATATTGGTACCTTAAATATCATTCACGGTAACTAAAACATTGTTATATGTAACAAAAACATTGCCACTTGTGACCAAAATTTTGGTTAGTAATGCCACTGGGTTCTTATTATCACCCATGAACCATCAACTCCCTCAAAAAATGGACCTAAAGAAAACCCTGGGTCAGATGAGTAACAGAATCTAGATTAGGAATTGAAGCGACATTATGGGAAAAGTAAAATGCCATAGTCTCATTCCTGAACCAAGTTTTGTTTGCTGGAGTAGAGACCACATGTTATTTGGTGCACTGTTGAAACAGCAGTACCTATTCAGTCAGATTTCTGATTCCCACATGAATTATAAATCATATGGAAATACAATAAAAACTAAAATATTGTTGAGAATATTGATTAGAAAAAACATTTCTGAAATTTTAATACAGTATGTACTCCTACCCTACACAAAAATATGGACTGGTCTACTATAAAAATTCAAAGGCAAAATGTGATGGAGAATAGAGAAATTATTATGCTGCCAATACCATTGTGGCCATGTTCAATAATTGAAGAAAAATTCCCTGTCATAGATCACAATCCTATCTTGCCTCACTGAAAGGGATAACAATAGCAGATTCCATTATTTTTATTACCAACCTCACATACCGACATAAATGATGAAGATAATTCAACGTTCATATTGCTTTTATTTTCTAAAAGAATAGCAAATCATGTAGTGGAATCCCAAATGTTCTACCAAGCTAATGGAAAATACATTCAAGATATATATGAACCAAAAAAAAAAAAAGAAAAAAAATACACACACACTAACCTCTTCTGGAGTGATTGTGTACATCAAATCCTCAATCTTTCGAGCATACTGGAAAAGCCGTTCAAATTGCTGTAGAGGACAAACTTATTAGGCAAAAATATATAACTTGGAGAATGCATAATCAACAGGTAAAAGTTATCAAACTTTCAAGAGATATTTAACAACTCTCAGTGAAACCAATTATAGAAATATAGAGAGGAGAGGGGGAGAGAGAGATAAGAGAGTCTAAGCAACAAAAGTGGATTGCTTACATAATATATAATCATGCTGATATGACGTGTACAGGCTTGTTCATAAGCTTCACTCGCCTGGTGATAAAATTTGGCTAAAGTGGGCACAACATTGGCTAGGTCATACAAGCTGTGTAACCACTTCTAATCAGTAGAGAAAACAGGAATTTTTTTTCCTTGAAGAAATAAAGAAAAAAAAAAAAAAAAATCCCTTTTCCAAACCAATAACAACATCAACTGAATAGCCAAAAGAAATCGACAAATAGAAGGGAAAAATTTACCTGTTCTGAAACGCTGCATAATTCTCTAGAAGAAAAATATCAGCATATTTTGGATCTGTTTGTGCAATTTTCTCCAAAGTAACAAACATAATGCTAACCTGTTAAACAATAATTACAATGTCAATTGTACTCCAAAAGAAGTTCCTACAGTAAGCGTAAATATATAGGCATGGATTTCTGTAGGTTTCTGGCTAACTACAGAGTAACATGCACACAATCTTCTAACAGAAGCTATCATACCCCAATAGGTGGCCTATACTCCAGTTTCAGAAGTCTTTTTGATTTCACCAGGATATTGGCACTTTCCCGACCACTATAATGGCTGACTACTCTATAAAAAAATATAATGCAACGGGAAAGCAAGACTCAATATTGAATAATAAGCTTTTACCCCAATCCAGTATGCTTTCACTTGCTAACAATGGTAAAATATAAGCCTAACCACCTCCTCCAAGTAGGCCTTCAGACAAAGAACTACTTTAGGAGAACATTCCAGATTTCAGTAAATGGACCTCTTCCTGAAGCTATCATTTTTGTAAGCATTTATTTCCCATAGGCCCTACACTAAACATGCTCAGAATCCAAAAATTAGATTCAAGTCCTCAGTTGCTTTGTTTTCGCAGACTTGCACAATACCTACTCAAACAATAATGTGGCTATATGAGATTGAGTTAGTGTAAGACTAACCTTTAAGGTGACAGAATTCACTAAAACATTTTCCTATGCCTTCATATATGACGACATTGTTGTTTGACCATTATGCTGATGACAGTCATTATAACAAATTCAACACAAGCATGAATCAAATTATATTACTTAAGCCAGTGGCGAAGCCAGGATTCGAAGTGCTGGGAGAGAAGGGAAAGGGGGGGTGGGGGTGGGAATTAAGAAATTATGTACCTTAAAAATATTTTCTACTAATAAATATTAAAACTTTAATATTTATTGATAATATTTTTTTGTCCAATACTATTATAATTTTCTTAATATGATTCATAAGCTAACAAATAATTTGTCATATATCAAAACCTTAATTTATTTAAGTTTGTATAAAATGCATTTTATTTATTTATAATCTAGAATTTTATTTATTTTGGCTTTATTATTAATTGTGTCATTAAATTTGTATATGATAAGACCTTATTTATAATCTAAGCTTCATTTAGTTTGCTTTTGGGTAATTATCTGATTGGGTAAATTTCCATTTAATATTTTTCCAAGTTTAATTATTTGAGGGGGTAACTGTAATTATTCAAAGTATTGAGGACATAACTGATAAGTTACAATTTTTTTTGAAAATCCCAGAGAGGGCACGGCCAACCCTGGGCTTGAATTGTCTCCGCCCCTGGCTTAAGCTACAATACCAACCACTGCAAGCGGCAAAAGAATAAGCCTACCTATTTTCACATAACTTTGTCTGAAACTGCATCAATCTGGTAAGTTATGCATTATAATAGAATCACATTGCACAAAGCACCATTTGCCATTCATAA